TAATCCCAGCACTCGGGAGGCAGAGCCAGGCGGATCTCTGTGAGTTTGAGGCCAGCCTGGGCTACCAAGTGAGTTCCAGGAAAGGCGAAAAGCTACGCAGAGAAACCCTGTCTCGAAAAACCAAAAAAAAAAAAATAATAATAATAATAATAATAATAATAGATAGCCAGTGCTATACAACATAACCCTATCTCAAAAAAAAAAGTAAGTAAAATTGATTTTGGGGTCCCTGAAGAGAGGGCTCAGTAGGGAAGAACACTTGCTGCTATTCTAGAGGACCTGATTTGGCTTCTAACATCCATATCATGTAATTCCAGCTCCAGGGGATCTGGTGTCTCTCGGTACTCTCAAACATGGTGCGCAAACACATACACATAAATTAAAAACAAATCTTAAAACAACCTGCTGGGCATGGTAGTGCACATGTTTAATTGGAACAGAGGCAGAGGCAGGAGGATCTCTGTGAGTGGAGGCCAGCCTGATCTACTACATACTCTGTCTCAAAACAACAATAAAGTGATTATGGGAAGTAATGGCTTTGATACTATTATAAACTACCATACACCAAAAAGAACGTAATGCAAACTCAGGCTTTTAATACAAAGAAAACCCATAGGGCTGGGGTGTAGCTCACTGGCGGAGTACTTAGCTAGCACACATAAGGCCCTGAGTTTGATTCCAAGTATTGAAAACACAAGAAGAAGAAAAAAACCAACACATAGTCGAACTTATTATTTGGGCCTTGCTTTTCTGCCTAGCAAAGCAAACAGGCCTGCCCCTGTGGAGAGAGGCCAACTGTGCTTTTCATCTCAGCAGGAAGATTTTATTTCATTTGCTTTCATCACTTAGCAGGAAATTGACAGGACCACTACTTACTAAAGGAGATGGACTTAAAACAACTGGTAAGTAGGTAGTAACTTGGAGAATATTCCAGTGGTGTAGATGTGCAGATCTGAAGGGACTGCAAGTTACGTCTTGGCATCTTAAGCTGTCAGATTTACTGAGTCCAATACCAGAACACTAGAATGGTTCTGCCTAATAATTGTTGCACAATGCTGGCCTGAGTAGTTATTTGTAGCCAAGTCCCACATAACGACTGCATTTGTCAGTGATGTGCTGCAAGTACTGTACAGCCTAGGTATGTACCAGGCTATACCACACAGGTTGGTCTAAGTGGTTCTCAATATCTGGATGACCCTTTCATAGGGGTTGCCTAAGACCATTGGAAAACAGATATTTACATTATGACTCATAACAGAAAAATTACAGTTATGAAGTAGCAATGGAAATAATTTTATGGTTGGGGGTCACTACCATAGGGAACCAAATTAAAGGGTTGCAGCATTAGGAAGGTTGAGAACCACTGGCCTAAGTAATGCTCAGTGTGCTCACATAACTGAAATCACTTGATACTTTATTTCTTATAA